GTTGGAAATTCCAACGGCTTTAGCTAGCAATCGAGCTAATTATTCATGGGTAACTCTACTGTTAGTTATCATTCGATTCGAACCCGCGACTTAAAAATAAAACTTTTTCTTTCTTGTATTAACAACAACGTCAAATAGTTGAAAATCGATTGCGAAATATAAGGCTTTACACTTTAGGTCCTCCTCTCTGTCATCCATCCATTCAATTAGAGGACAACACTTTTTTCATGCAGAAGATAACCGAAATGCACATGCAATTAAAAAGAGAACAGTCAATTGTAACACGAAAAAAGATCGTTTCGGGAACTAGGAGGGACGACATAACAAAGCTATCGCTGATTGTTCTTACACTTTTTTCTTTTATTGTTATTTGCATTTTTGTTTTTTGGGGATGAACAACATTGATACGACTTATCAGACACGGAGAATTCAAGAAACTCTCTGCTCATCTTCTCAACCATCCCCCACGGAAACTTGAGGACCAGATCGTTTGGACAACTTTGGGGGAAGAAGGGGAAAGAAAGAACTTCTTCTCGAATACTATATGCGATAAATTTGACTTATACGAGACAATCTGTCAATGAGAAAATGTAAAAACGGGAAGAAAGAGTTTAAGACGGTAATCTCGGTAGAAATTTTTAGTGCAACATACTCGTACACTTGCATCGATTGTCCGGTGTCGAGCTTGATCGTTTTTATGAGAACCTAGATCGAACTTTTGGTTTAAAGTGATTAAGTTTGCAAAAGAGCCCTAAAGAATTTTCAAGTTACGAGGGGGTGAATTTTTCAATTTTTCTTCTTAATAGGATTGTCGAACCATTCGTGGCGTTGTTCCTGTAATTTTACTCGAAAACGAGAGTCGCGAAAAGCTTCCCCCAAATTCAGAGAGGACCGATTTACCATTTTTAACCTCTTTCTGACATCGAAGTCGACGGAGGTGGTGGTTCTTTGCCTTCGGGACAGCTCGAGGGGCAATTTCGTCAACAGACGGGTTGCCATTGAAATTCCCCTTTCGGATCGAGAGGAGGGGGACGAAATTGAACAAAGTTTTTACGAACAGGGGATAAACAAAAGAATCGTAAAAATCCCAGTTAAACGAAAACACATTTAAAGGTGAGTTAATTGCTACATATGGTACCAAGTGGTAAGGAGCCTGGGTTCCCTCAACCAAGGTCTCGAGTTCAAGCTTTGTGTATGGAGCAAACGATATTGGGAGAGCCACCCCCTTATGGGTCCGACAATGCTCGATTCCGGATTTAGTCGGGGATACCCCAGATACCGGAAGGTCATAGACCAAAAAAAAAATTACTAAAAATGGTCGCGGTCATGTTAATTACTACAGGTGTAGGGTGTCGATCTCATCTTTGATCCTAAATCACTTTATGCAAAAAATGAACATAGTTAATTTGTTAGATATCTCAAATGAACATTGTTAACTTTAATAGACCTGTCAAACTTTGTCTTTACTCACAAAAACAAGAACATCAAAACACGAACCCCTGAAATATCTCCAATTTGCATGGGCTCTGCATGCGAAATTGTGCAACCCTCTTCTTCGGGTGTCAACGGTTCGATTTTCCAGGACATCCGAATTGAACTGTTAGGGTGAGCAATTGAATCGAACCAAACTGTTATCCAAACTAAATACGAACAGAACCGAAAATGCACCGAAAACCGGTTCGGTCTAGTTTGGTTTGGTTTTCGGTTTTCTTTTTATTGTAATATTAAAACAAATGTTTGGTGAAAAAGGAGAGAGATTGTGTAAATTATAATATTAAGAAGAGTGGTGATTTTCAGTTCGGTTCAGTTGGTTAACCGAAACTATCCGAACTAGAATATAAAAATAGTTATTTTTAATTATCTGAACCGAAATCCAAACTCAACCGAAAATGCACGAAATTTCGGTTCGGTTCCGATTTGGTTTTCCAATTCGGTTCTGACAGCCGTAGGGTGTACAACCGCCCCAAAATTCCTAGATGTACAATTGAACCAATGTTCAATGTTTATTATCATATGATCTAACATGCATGAGAAATTATATAACGCATCAAACGGACCATTGAGACACGGTAGAAGAAGTCAATGGCTTCTCAATAAATATATCATTCGAAATTTCTGTGCATTCAGTAACGAAAGATTCAATAGGACGAAATTATTTGCTCAAAACAAGACTATATGTGTTTTAGCGTATTTTCATCCTTCATGTACACCAGTATATTCTTGTTTCTAATTAGTAGCAACTAAGTAAGCTAACAAACCCACCCATAGATAGCTCAGTTGGTTAAGGCATATTTGGGATTGTGTAGTTAGGTGCACTAGTCCCAGGTTCGATTCTCCAGCTGAGCACTTGTGATTTAAGTGGGAGGCCATGGCGGTGGGTTGCTGTGCTAGTCTCCCCCGAGAAATAGTCGAGGTGCGCGCAAACTGGCCCGGACACCTCGATTACCAAAAAAAAAAAAAACTAAGTAAGCTAACAAGAAAAACTCTATTGTTAACACCTACCAATGTCATTCGCAATTCCATAATTAATCAGTAAAGAGCTGGATGGAGATCCTCTGCTCCATCAGTCCTTTCAATTGATTTCTCGATCATCTAAACCGTCGATTCTCGTGAAAAAATCAATTAAAAATCTAATTACTCGACGGATCGATAGTTGAGGATGACTGAGGCACCAGATGGGAACACGAAATCAACGAAACAAAAGGGTTTTTATTGGAAAAGAGCAAATAACATATCCTGTTATATTTTCAGCTATTATCAGACAATCTTTCATTTGCATATTTACTGTTTAAGATCATCAGACACTTGTAATTTCAGCTATTTGAATTCTATCAAAGAGGCTATAGACGCGCTAATTCTTCGATCACCTAGCTCTTGGCTATGCATTCTCTACACCCCTCAAACAGGAGAGTCCCCGAGGGTTGGACTTTGGAGGACCCTTCGACGCTCAAGTCAGTTTGAGTTTAAGAGAGGTGAAATCGACAGAGTAATAGCTAATGTATCTCGAGTGTTCCATCCATTCTCATTTTATGATTTTTTTTAAATAAAAAATCACGTCAATAAGCTTTTTTTTTATTGTCATCGGGCTTCGTGTAAAACCGATGCTATTAAATACTTGAATTCATTTTTGAAGCTTCAACTGGAAATTCTTTTTTCCTATAACAGAATGGTTTTTCCCCAGGAAACAAAAAATGAAAAGAAACCATCTTCATAAGAAACACCAAGTACCCAAAAAAGCACATTGCATAGCATCATCCCATCGAGCATGACCACAAAGTAAGGTAGACAAACTAAACACGGGTGTTAATCTAGCAAGGCTCCGTTTGTTTCGCGAAAAATAAAAGATTTGAAAAATATTTTCTTAAAATTAATGATCTGTATCGCTCGAAATAATTGATCAATTTAAAATGTTTTCATTATCGATAACAATATATGTCTAAATATTTTCGTGAATGATGAAAATATTTTTTTTGCTTATTCATTTTTGCAAGCAATATGGATGATGATTTTTAAGAAGATATTTTCCAGATCGTTCGTTTGCCATGAAATAAATAGAGCCTAAAAATTCTTTGTGAAAAAAACATGAACCTTGGCAAATCTCGTCTATCTATGGTTATCGGAAGCCCAGATCATGCGTACAAGGTCCAATTTCATGTCAGTGTTCGGGCCCGGCCCGACATCATCGACTTCCTCCTCTTCTCTCTTGCTCGAACTCGACCAACTGGGTGTGCGTCTCTCTCTCTCCATCTATGGCTTCGATGCCGAGATCTCGGGCGCGCTCTCAGCTCCGTTCTTCTTCCTCGTTCTCTCCGTCAGCGCTGCTGTTCCATTTGGGTATGTTGTTTTTCTCATCCAATTGCTATCCGAAGCTTAAAGTTCTGTTTTTTTATTCTCTTTTGTGGATCTCCTTTTGGTTGCTTCCTTTCCCGATCGAAGGCATGAACTCAATGGGAAGGGAAGATTTTCAATTGGGTTTCATCTTATTTTTAAGCGGACCGAAGAATTATGCTTCTTGCCCAAGTTTTATGCTATTGCTTCTCGCTTGATTAGCTGTTTTTGATGTGGTTGGGTCCGTCCTCGTTTTCTGCAGGTCTGCTGATGGTTTCACGATCAATGGCCGCGTTAGGATCCCCGGTACGATGTTGAATCGCCCTCGGGTTGTCCTTATGTTGATTTTCGTTTGCTAATCTGTTGCTCTGTGCGCGGAAGTTTTCGTTTTTGTTGAGGTGTGATTCTGATTGTAGCTTGGGAGTACTGCATTGGGTAGAATTTACTGAATGCTTGATTCTTGCCTCTGGAACCATTTAAGTTAAAGTGCATATTAGAACTTTATTTTTCAGCCACACGTATCTATCAGTGGTTCAAGACGGACGATGTGATAGTGAAGACTGGCGAGAGTATGAGCTACTGCTCGAGATTGCATTGGGGATTTACCGAGTTGGGGCTTGAGCTTCTTTTTAGGTGTTTATAAGCTCTTGGGGTTAGGATGAGGCAGGTGTTACTGAGTTCAAAGAAATTGTTTGGGCATGATCGTGTTTTCCCCATAGTATTATGTCTAGAGCAACTACCGGATGCTTGCTTTCAGGCAATTGTGTTTCATGACATCTTCTATATACGTAGATTAATACGGTCTTGTTAGTATTTGACTGAGAAATAATAGATATTGCTTCCAATCAGTTATAAGATCGTCCGTTAGACCGGTCTTTCTGGAATCATGTGATGGTGAATTTACACAATTTACCATCATGGAAGAGAGGGAAATGTCCAACCTTGCTGCAAATAACTTTTTATCATATTTGATAGAACTAGGAGAGAAATTAAAGAAAGGTAACAATGCTCAGAAGTCTAGCCTGCTCTGTTACTCAAACGGAGGCAAATAGTTTTCACTGGAAAATTTTTATCCTTCCAGTTTTAGTTCTCAGTTTCGGTAATTATCTATTCAATCTTCCTTTCAATGCAACCATCCTTCTTCTCTTGTTCACCCAAATTACAAATGCTTTGGCGGGAGCTGGTGCAATAACGTTTGGTCTTCCGGGAAAGATATCAGATGCTAAAGTTATACTCAATGGTGGCAAGAGAATTACTTTCCTTAGACCGGATGGATACTTTTCATTGTATCCTCTTCTTCAACTGTAGTTGTTTTGTTCCCAATGCTTCTTATAACGCCTTCTGCCTATCCTACTTTGTTCATGTAACTTCTTTTGACTTTTTTAAAACAAAGTTAATGCAGGGCTTCCTTTCTCTAATTTTTAAAATGACTTGCTCTATTAACTTTTTTAATCTGTACTTAGAATGTCACGAGCTGATATGGGCAAAGATGGCAATTTGGTTGTAAATGATAATATTTGGTACGAGAATGTTCCTTCATTCATATTTCGATAAAGCCATAATATCTCGGCTGGGACGCATCTAATTGAGGTGTCCGCCCTTGGATATTTCTTTTCACCGGTGGGTATGATCTTGATTTGCTAGTTATCCACCAGTTTCAATCACTGTCTGACTCAAACGAATTTATTGCTTTATAAATGCTCAGGTACGAGTTGATGTCAGTGCTAGGAATCCTGGCAAGGTTCAGGCTGCCCTGACAGAGAGTAGGAGGATCTTGAATGAGTTGGTTTTAGAGCCATTGCGAGAGGAACAGTACTATGAGGTTGATTTGACTGGAACCTGGGCTTATTGAGGGTTCTACTTACATGTTTTGTGAACTTCTGTGCACGGACCTCCAACGCTGCCTATATAACCCTAGCCTAGCCTAGCCTCTTCCTCCTTCGTATCCACCTTTTCCCCAGAAAAAAACTCAGGATAACGATGAATCACATTTTGCGTGCCATCATCAGCCGTCCTTCCCACCACCGTCTTCCTCCACCTCCTCCACCTCCACCATCCACACCATCTCCGATCTGCCGCCATGCTTTTCTCTTTTCACCCCCACAACATCAATCATCGGTCCAGTATCTCCAGCTTGGAGCCCCTAGCCTTGCCCATTTGCTGCATCCTGGCGGAGATTTGCAAGCCGAGTAAGTCACTCCATCTTTCTATCTCTCTCGTTTTTGGTTCCTGACACCGGAACGGGATTTTGCAGGCGTCACGCGATGTTGTTGCTGAACGACGGAATTGCCGCCTACTTAACTGTACTGGGTATTGATGCGATGGAGTTCTCGCGCCGCGCTTTGCCCATGTCGGTAGCGCGGGCGCCAATCACCTAGAAATGGGTCCGTGCATTCTGTGCACAGACCTTGAGCCTACACTACAACTACGCCGATGGGGCGGCAAGGGCACGGGTGAATTTTGCGAAGACTATTTTGAAGGTGGAGACGGAGGCCTACCTCCGGGAAGTCGTCGTCGAAGTGGACCTTGGAGACAATGCCGTTTCTGCGGCGGCGATTGAGAGGGTCATCTTCGTGGGCGTTTGGGTATCGCCGTTTGAAGATATATGGTACTAGTGTAGGTTTTTCTGCGTTTGTGTTTGCTTTGTTTAGTCTGATGGTGAGTCGGGGTCTGTTTTTTTTTGTTGCTAAAAGTGAGTCGGGGTTTGTTGATCGATGGGACTGTGGTTCCCACGGCGGCGGTGTCCACTGTCCATGGTCATTGATGGTGGAGTTTTCATGTACGGTGGTTCCAAGATGAAATAGATAATTTGCTTCTTGTTTTTCAATTTTAAAAATTGATAAAAAGAAAGGGAAAAAAAACAATATGGGTGAATTATACGTACTGGCAATTGAAAAGGGAAAGAAGAAGAAGAAAAAGACCTTTTCTTTAAGATAAGGAAGGAGTAGGTGGGGGTGTCCCTTGCTCCATCCAAATCGGTCTCAAAACTCGCCGGCCGGCCAAATCTTCACCGGCTGCTCCTTCCTCCGGCGAGTTTTGAGACCGATTTGGATGGAGCAAAAGGCACCCCCACCCGTTCCTTCCTTATCTTAAAGAAACGATCTTCTTCTTCTTTCCCTTTTCAACTGCCAGTACGAATAATTCACCCATATTGTTTTTTTTACCCTTTCTTTTTATCAATTTTTAAAATTGAATAACAAGAAGCAAATTATCTATTTCATCCTGGAACCACCATACATGAAAACTCCACCATCAATGACCATGGACACCGCTGCCGTGGGAACCACAGTCCCATCGATCAACAAACCCCGACTCACTTTTAGCAAAAAAAACAGACCCCGACTCACCACCAGACTAAACAAAGCAAACACAAACGTAGAAAAACCTACACTAGTACCATATAGCTTCAAACGACGATACCCAAATGCCCACGAAGATGATCCTCTCGGTCGCCGCCGCAGAAACAGCATTGTCTCCAAGGTGCACTTCGACGCCAACTTCCCGGAGGTAGGCCTCCGTCTCCACCTTCAAAATGGTCTTCGCAAAATTCGCCCTTGCCGCTCCATCGGCGTAGTTGTAGCATAGGCTCAGGGTCTCTGCACGGACCCATTTCCAGGTGATTGGCGCCCGCGCTACCGACATGGGCGAAGCGCGGCGCGAGAACTCCGTCACGTCAATACCCAGTGCAGTTAAGTAGGCAGCAATTCCGTCGTTCAGCAACGACATCGCGTGACGCCTGCAAAATCTCGTTCCGGTGTCGGGAACAAAAAACGAGAGAAATAGAAAGATGGAGTGACTTACTCGGCTCGCAAATCTCCGCCAGGATGCAGCAAATGGGCAAGGCCAGGGGCTCCAGGTTGGAGATACTGGACCGATGATTGATGTTGTGGGGGTGGAAAGAGAAAAACACGGCGGCAGATCGGAGATGGTGGAGGTGGAGGAAGACGATGGTGGGGAGGACGGCTGATGATGGCACGCAAAATGCGATTCATCGTTATCCTGAGTTTTTTTCTGGGGAAAAGGTGGATACGAAGGAGGAAGAGTCTAGGCTAGGGTTATATAGGCAGCGTTGGAGGGTAAGATGCTCCAATTACCTGGGGCTGGGGCACAGAGAAAATATTCTCCCAGCCCCTCCTCCACGTCACCGGCCATGCAGGAAGCAACACATGCACTCCACGGACCATCCATCCCCTGCTCGACGATCTCCTATCAATGAGATGCTTGTTTTAATTGGCGTAGCTCAACTGACGGGGTAGAGCAATTTTTAGGTGCTTTAAAAAGCCACTGCGAACTTAATACGCTAAAGAAAGAAAGGCCACGGGTATCTCAAGAACTAATAATGCCTAAATGAAGTATAATTTAAAAACTGCAACCTAGTTGCAAAAGTGCTCTCTGCATGCTTTATACTTTAAAGGAACCCATTTTTAAATGTAATTAAGAACCCTTGCATAACATATCACCAACGCAGTTTCACACGCGCCACTTGTGCACAACTCCACTGACTCCTCCGCATGCACATACACATGATGCGATGCAGGTAGACAAACAAACACATCTCATAAAAATGATTGGAAACTATCATGCACGTCCTTTTTATTTTACGAAGGCAACTCAAGCGGTCATTTGATTAGTTAACAAAAAACAGAACATGGCCCATATCATTGGACCCCGAATAGAGCGACGTACAAAATTATCGAGAATCCCGTCCTTGGAGTCGAAGAAACAGGACCTAGCGAGAGTGGCTCGTCTGTCTGTGAAGAGAGCTTGGCGAGGACCAGCCACAGCTCTGTAACAAAAACGGACGGTACAATGTCTAATGCCGCACGAGAAGTAAGAGAAGAAAATAGGTGCTTGACTTAGCTTGACGGTTGTCGTTAAAGTCCGCGAAGCAAGATCGACGCAAGAACGAGGCATGTCCGTGGAGTGTATCACCAGCAGAAAAAGAAAGCAAGATCAACCTGTGAACGAACGCTCACAGGTTGCTGCCCATGCTCCTCGCGGCTCAACCCCCCTTCACGATGGCTTGGTATTGAAAGAGAGCAAAATAGAGCGGAGTTGGTCGACGATATTCAGGGCTAGGTTAACGATTTCGAGGGACGCTGCCGTGAATACAAGTGCCACCGGGGATGGTAACATGAAGCCAGAGCAACGTAGCGGCCTGGATCACCTACAGAGGTGGCGGCTTCAGACGATGGCGAGCCCCGTTTGAATGTCGCTGAGGCTTGGAATGCACGTCTGGAGCTTCAGAGGTGGTGGTTTCAGGTGTGGATGAACCAAGGTTCAAACGAGAAAGGCAAGCTCTTGAACGGTGGAAACAAAGAGACCGAAAACAGGTCTCTCGGTTTGAGGGCTGCGGCCGTGGGTGTGCGAGCTTTAAATTGAGAGTATCTCCGTGTTGGCACTCCAATATCTGCCACTCACGCAGCACCTTACCGAACCTCTCGATTCACGGATGGCCAAACCCCCTCTTTGAAGCTCACGGCCATGAATCCAAGTGCTCTGCCCTCTCTCTCTCTCTAGATTACTCGTGACTAAGGTATCTTCCCACTTCGAAGATCTCTTTTACCTTTATATGCTCTTCCCTGTCCCACTTGCCAGCCCCAACGGCTCTCTTTAATTCACGCTCAGCCCCTTGTCTGCCGCATGCTTCACTTTTGTCCTTTTGTCCTTTTTTGTTAGGAGATTGTTCAACTCATTTTGCCTTCCACTTCACTCTTTGCCGAATGTGGCTCTAATCTTCCACGACTCCCAATTCTTGAACAGCTATCACAATGCCTGCCACCACCTCTATTCATCTATTGCAATCCCAGCCTGCAACTCAGTTTTGTCCACGCCAAGAAATGCCGCTTTTTTTTTATTTCGACCAAAAAAAAGAGTAAGCTATTTCGCAGCTGAGGCTCACGGTCAGCACAGCTAGACTCCACTCGGTTCCAGGCTCTCTTTCCATCTCTATGTCTAGTTCAATTTTAGTTCAACGGGAGCTAAGTAAGTGGTGACTGGCCGTAGGAGACTTAATTATGAAAGGGAGAGTGAGATTAATTGGGTGATTAGAGAGAGAGGGAACCAACAATCAAGCTATGAGCTCGATTAATGCGAGAGCTCAAACGTCCTCATTGATTTAAACTTTCCCCGTCGGGTCCGATTTCCTTCATGATGTCCCTAGTTATTAAGTGCAGTGCAAAAAAGTGGACGCATGATGAGGTAATGCAGCCGTTCTCGATCAAAAGTCGACTCTTCGGTCTGGCTAAAAAGTCCACCGAAGAAGTGAACTTTTCGCCCATTTATGAACCGGTACTTACACGCTAATGAAATGTAATGCTCCAAATGCAATGAATGCAGAATTTGACAAATTGACTATTTTTGTTCGAAAATTAAGCTTCATCGCGATCAGAAATCTGGAGCCTCCAAGTGATTTTCATTATAATCGTATGCTTACTTGTCGGCGAAATTCAAGTGTGTCAACATTATTCCGGTTCCAAGATTGGAGAAAATTGTTTTAACGGAAAATGGCACAAATGGTCCATGAACTATGACTCAATACGTAATATAGTTCATGAACTTTTAATTTGTTCGATGCGGCCCCTGAACTTTAATCCAATGTGCAACGTGATCCCTAAAATTTTTGTACATGTTCAATGTAGTCCATGAATTATATAAAAATGTTTAATGTAGTCTTTCCATTAATTCAAGGTCAGAGACTACATTAAACATGTACCAAAAGTCCAGGGACCGTATCAAACGTATTAAAAGTTCGAGGAACACGTTGAACAAATTAAAAGTTCAGGAACCTCATTGCATATTGGACTTAAAGTTCGGGACCATTTGTGATGGTATCCCT